GCTCCGGTTCAAAAGAGCGATATTTGAAATAGTGACATTAAAAAGGCGACATATTTTTAAAGCGATACATCAAAATAGCGATATTCAAAACAGCGACTTATTAAAATAGCGACATTCAAAACAGCGACATGTGAAAAAAGTAGCGACATATCAAAAAAGCGACATTCGAAAGCGCGATACTTGAAACAGCGACATTGCAGAAGAGCGACATATGTAAAGAACTAGATTTAAAACAGCGACATCAACAACGGCGACCTCTAAGCAAAACAGGGACACATCAAATTGTATCAATAATAATCAAAAAAATGCAGACTACTCAAACTAACCCGTTCCCCTAGTGCGATCTTGTCCTCGTAAGTTAGCATTTTATTTGAAAAACAAGGTTGACATTTTTTTTAAATAAAATGCTAACTTACGAGGACTAGATCGCACTAGGCGGACGGGTTAGTTTGGGTTAGTTTGCGTAAGTCTGCAATAAAATGCTAACTTACGAGGACTAGATCGCACTAGGTGGACGGGTTAGTTTGGGGTAGATTGAGTAAGTCTGCAATAAAATGCGAACTTACGAGGACTAGATCGCACTAGGCGGACGGGTTAATTTGGGTGAGATTGAGTAAGTCTGCAATAAAAGCTAACTTACGAGGACTAGATTTTACTTGGCGGACGGGTTAGTTTGGGTTAGATTGAGTAAGTCTGCAATAAAATGCTAACTTACGAGGACTAGATCGCACTAGGCGGACGGGTTAGTTTGGGTTAGATTGAGTAAGTCTGCAATAAAATGCTAACTTACGAGGACTAGATGGCACCAGGCGGACGGGTTAGTTTGGGTTAGTTTGAGTAAGTTTGCAATGAAATGCTAACTTACGAGGACTAGATTTTACTAGGCGGACGGGTTAGTTTGGGTTAGATTGAGTAAGTCTGCAAAAAAAAGGCTAACTTACGAGGACAAGATCGCACTAGGCGGACGGGTTAGTTTGGGTTAGATTGAGTAAGTCTGCGTTTTTTTGATTATTATTGATTCAATTTGTTCATCACTTATTCTATAGTTCTAAGTAGGACAACATGATAAACTTTATTAACAAAAAAACCAAATAAATTAGTTAAAAATACAAATTATGGAATGCTAAGTTTAAATGGTTGAGTTTAAAGCTACTGCTTTAAGGTGATTTTGTACGTTGGAGAAAGGGTATTCTTGGACTAAGTTTAACAATCGAGAATTAACTTGCTCATATTTTGAACTCGTCGCTGGGGGCTTTCTATACCCGGTCCTTTATTTGTTGACAGCCATTTCAACAACGCTTTTGTCCCTCGCGTTTCTGTTCCGTCGTGCTTTTGTCCCTCGCGCTTTTGTTTCTCGCGCTTTTATCCAGTCGCTTTTTTGTTCACTCGCGCTTCTGCTCTTCGCGTTTTTGTTCCTTCGCGCTTCTGTCCCTCGCGCTTTTGTTCCGTCGCGCTTTTGTCCCTCGCGCTTTTGTTCCTCGCTTTTTTATCCAGTCGCGTTTGTGTCCATCGCGCTTTATTCCAGTCGCGTTTTTGTTCCGTCGCGGTTCTGTCCCTCATGTTTTTGTTCCGTCGCGCTTTTGTTCCTCGCGTTTTTATCCAGTTGCGTTTGTATCCATCGCGTTTGTATCCATCGCGCTTTTTTCCTGTCGCGTTTTTGTTCCGTCGCGCTTTTGTCCCTCGCGCTTTTCGTATCGCGCTTTTCTCCCTCGCGCAAACGGTTGTCGCGCAAATGACACAGAGCCGGGAAGAAAACTAGGGCGTAACCTAAAAATATTCACTGACACCTCAACTGACACCGCCTGATGACAGCTATGTCTTTGGGTTCAGTGGCACCGAAAACAGCGAGGAAATAAACCAATAAAATTATTAGAAAAAAATTATCTAGTTTCGCCAATAACCACGCCACTGCGTGCTGTCGTTCAAGCTCTAACCAATAGAATCATGTCTCTGAATAATCACGCCTCTCCACATCCTTCATTTCGCAATGTTGCCGGATTTTTCTCTATTTCAAAATACTAGACATGCCCATATAGAAAAAAAAAATGTCACCAACTTGTTATTATTGTTTCCGTCAAGTTTGGCACAGCAGCAAATTCTTTTGCAGTTCGCCGTTTGGCTAGCCAGACTATACAAGCACATGTCAAAACATGCGAAATTTGTAATAAGACAAAATATGAAAGCCAACCCTATAAAATAATATTCAAACCAACTCCAATCGGCTCAAAACCTTTTGAACACCTTTATATTGATACATACTTAGTTTCGAATCAAAAAATCCTAGCAATTATTGACAGTTTTTCGAAGTTTGCACAAGCTATCCCAATTATTAGCAAAACTTCAGTTGAGATTGCATCACAATTAATAAGATATTTGACTAACCATCGAATTCCACAAAGAATTGCCACGCTTTTTCGCTGATTAATGGGTAGTTGCACCAACACTTTTTAATTTTCGTTTAACAGTAAACTTGGTTTAAACCAAAGAAATCCATTGTACCGTTTTTTAAAGAAAGTTTAATTTGATTTGAACTTGGTTTAACTTAAACGGTCATCTTTGATGGTTTAAGGAGAAGTTTTACTATTGAACGCACAGAAGGGAAATTCGTAGTGTAATGACATGCCGACTGTTGTTGTTTACGGTTATTTTCATGTTGTGAGGTTAAGTATAGTGCTAAATAAAATAAATAAAACAAATTTCTGTTAATAAATAATTATTAGGAGAATTATTAAAATGAACATTGATTACGAAGACATTTTTGACGACGACTTAGAAATCCTTGAAATAATCCAAAATGGGATTCCAAGGAGAGTCATCCAGCGCAAGAATCATTTCAATGAAATGAGCCCCTATACATTCTTCCGCAAATTTCGTCTTTATAAAGACACTGCATTGCGTGTTTTGGAACAAATAGAGCCAGAACTTGAATATCCCAATAATATGTAAGTAGAAGCTAAACAAAATACTTGAGAATATATGTGTAAGTAGGTATACTTTGCTTAAGCAAAAGCTAGGATCTTACTACTTAAGCAAGAGTAAACCTAATGAAATATCAATTTTAATCAGGTATGCTGATATATATTCTAGGAACAATAGTGTATCTCCTATCAACCAGTTTTTGATTACATTGAGATATTATCCTACTGGGGGCCATCTAAACTTTTTAGCTGATTTTGGAGGTATGGATACTTCTACAGTATCGAGAATAATTGTCCGAGTGTCAGAAGCAATTGCAAGGCTTTACCCTCAATATATTGATATGCCCCAACCACAAAATATTATAGATGAGCAAATTAAGTTCCATGACATTGCTCGATTTCCAAGAGTTCTTGGAGTTGTCGATGGAACACATATTAAGATACAAAATCCAGGTATGCTTACTGTTGATGAGAAAACTCAATAATTTGCTATCAAGAGACTAGCTAATTTTAAGTAAACAGAAAATTTAAAGCCTTATCATTTCTTGGGAACACCCTGTTTTATTTGAGATTGATTTTACTATGAATGTTTGTACACTTGCATAAGGTCAATCCAACAAAAATTGTAGGCGTAAAGATTTGTAAAACGCAATTATTTACTTTGAATGTTCTGTCTAAAAAAAAAAACCATCACCTAGGTACTTAGCAGTCTCAAATATTTTAGAAAATAGCGAATTTGTTATGATCTACTATTTTTTAAGATATTTGAATCTATCTTTCGTTCAAATTAAAAAATAGAGCGTGATTGATTATTGTTTTATATCCCTTGACTTTTGGCTTTAAACAAGATAGAACATAGAACTAGGAAAAAACATTAATTACATTTGCAATATTTTTGCTTTATTAGGTGGAGATGATGGGGAAGTATTTAGAAACCGCAAGGGTTATTTTTCTATCAATACCTACTCAAGTAGTATGTGATGCTGATATGAAATTTGTGGATGTTGTAGCAAGATGGCCTGGATCTGCACATGATGCTACGGTCTTTATGAATAGTAGAATATGTGCACAATTCGAAAACAGACAATATCGAAATGGTTTGCTTCTGGGTTAGTATGAATATTTTTAATACCTACCATTACTTTCAAAAGCTTCTGTCACCAATGCTTAGTTATAAAAATAATTAACAGAAAGGATTCTTACATGTTTTATGATAATAAAATAGAGCTCAGTTACTCAATTCTGAAATTTTAGGAGACAGTGGCTATCCGTTACTACCATTTTTGTTGAACCCCTCGAAAATGCAGTCACAGACCCTCAACAATTATACAATGAATCTTTCATCAGAATCAGAAACATAATTGAAAGAGCAATCGGAGTGTGGAAAAGTCGATTTCCATGCTTAGCATATGGCATGCGCATAAAAACACAAACTGCTTTGACTGTAATAATAGCCACTAGTGTCCTACATAATATCGCTAGGGCGATGAACGAACCAGAACCCCCTGTATTGAATGCAGAAAGACTGAATTATTTTATCGACATTGGTCAAATGGAATATCGAGTAGGTCGTTTAAATATTCCAGCAGCAGCACACCCGATTCAAAATGATATTGTTAATAACTACTTTGGAGGCATTTAAAATAATAAGAAAATAAAATTAACTTCATATTTTTGATCCAGTTTTTTATTTGGTAAATTCTGAATACACAAAAAAATAGCTGGCAAAATTTATAAATACAGTCTTATAACACATTGGTACAAATCGAGGTACAAAAACATAGAAACTAGGATCAGGGTTTTCCCATATAAATGTTCACCCACCCCATGTGATAATATAGATTGTGTTCCATTCAAGGAAGTTAACAAGCTGCCAAAATTTTATATTTACAATAAAAATGAATTTTTAACTCGATGTTTAATTAAAAATTGTCATGATTCAGAAGTAAACAAAACTTTGACAATTTTTAATAACTTTTACTTTTAAAATAGCCCTGTTCCAGGTGGGTGAACATGTATAGGAGAAAACCCCGTAGCTACCTAATTAAGGGATTTCGGTTCAGACGAACACTGATGAAACTTCTATTCCAGTTGCTTTTCCCTTTGGATTTGGAGAGTTAGCAGCTCCACTCTGAGCTCATGTTCTTTCAACTCTACTTTTATTTGGTTTTGCAACACTTGTTTTTGATAGTTTGCAATTTCTAGTCTCTCGCTTACTAATTTATCATATTTTTCTGATAAATCAGAGGCTGCCAATGTTTTCACAAATATTCTAGGCCTTCGCCTGGATGCTGGGTGTTGCCTAAAAATGAAAGGAAAAAATTATTTCAACGTGAGATAGCAAGACAGACTGTACAAGGTAACAATTTCGAAATTGGAAATAGAATATATGGCATCTCCAAAATAAAAAACATAAATACCAACAGTGACTCAGGAGTATAAGCGAGAATGAAACAGGTTTGAGGGTTCAACTATTTTACTTGTTTGAGATACCTACCACTTGTTTGTAAAAACTTTAAGCATTATATTATATACTTACTAGCATTGACTCTGGATTGAGTGCACTGTCTGTGGCTGATTTCAAATCTTGAACTGTGTAGCGTTGCCAGTTCTTTGATTGATTTTGTTTCAATTTTTGTGTTTCACTTTCCATTGACGTCGTTGCTTTTCTCTAAAAAAAATATTTTTTTTCTATGATTACATTATCTAATATTTGGCTAGCTTGTAGCTGTAATGGTAGTACCTAACACTGACAAGGTCTTTTAAAATTATGATGAGAATATTATAATTATTATCCTGTACTTAACAAACAAAATGAGGCATTGGCCCAGACCAATATGATGTGATCTAAAAACTACATACCTTTTTTTCTTCTGGTTTTCCTTGTGAGGCTTTCTTTTCCTCAACGGTATCCTCAAACTCAAAAATACTATCTTCATGATCATTCTCAAAGATGAATTCAATAGCATTGTCTTCTAAGATTACGTCCTGTGACTCTTGGGAAGTTGTTGGGTTTGAAGTATTGATGTTTATAATTGCATCTCCACCAAAAGGGGTCTCAAGACCTTGTACACTTTTATTGGAAACAATAGACATAAGCAAATCATCAAGTGGTTCCTTTTTTGCTTGGTTGTCTGGCAGGCCACCTCCAGTTTTATAAATTTCCCGTCTTTCAGCAGCTACTGATTTTCTCAATAGTTTTTTCCTGTTTTCATAACATCGTTTTAAGCATTCCACAGCTCTTGGGCAAGAGGGCCCCGCACTGTTATACTCCTGTGCTATTTTTTTCCACATGTCTTGTTTTTCACTGCTTGTAACCGCATCAGTTTTTTTATTTTCTATTATAGTTTTATATTTTGCAACAATATTAATTAAAAGGGCTTTATCATTGTTTGTAAAATTAGCTGATCTCTTTTTATTTGTGAATGCGATGTTAGTGGATCCATTTTCTTGAATCAAGCAATGCAATTAGCACAAAAGAACTTCCAAATATAAAGGGTCACTGCTTCGATTAATTAGATTTGGAAAAACTCAGCAGCAGAGAAAATAAAATAACAAATAATTCACTTTTTAGTTTTTAGGATTCTAGATTTTAGGTTATATTTTCTTTGACATTTGACAAATTTTGAACATGTTCGCCAACCCAAACGAAAAAAATCCTATAAATTACTAGTTTAATCAAACCGAGCTTAGTTCTGTGCCGTGCAACGTAAGGTCAAGTAATCGGGGTTTATTTTTGAATCTCAGTTTTATTAAACTTGGATTAACAGAATATTGGTGCAACTAGCCATGAAAAGTTTATTAAAAAAAAAAAAAAATTTGAAAAATAAATTAAAAAAAAAAAAAAAAAATTAAAGTCGAAAATAAAAAAAAAAAAGAAATAATGAAAATTAAAAGAAGAATAAAAATAAAAATAAATGAATAAGGAACTTGAGATTGTAGGACTGAAGGTCCAAGTGCGTGCAAATTATGCCCTAGCTCAGAACTAAACAATTCGGAGAGTAGGGGTGGGTTTTAGTTTGGGCGCCACCGACTCTGAACAGATGAGTCGGACTCTCCAGGATGGTATCTGGCTTCAGGTCCTTACAATTCAAATAATGATTAATAAAAAGAAAAATATTAGCAAAACCAGGCTGTGTGCATAAAACCAAATAAAAGTCAAGAAATCAAGTGCTACAGTTGTTTATTCACCAAATGGCCGCAGACCACAATGAACAATAATTTGAATTTAAGAGGAAAAAAATAATAATAATAATAATCAAGTAAATTAGCAATTAATAAAATGATCTTGTCATGAAGCGTTAACTAACAAATACAGAAATGCAATACTATGTCATGATCAGTTAAATTTAAATGCAAAAATGTCATTGAAACTCAATAACTAAGTAATTAAAAAAAATATATGAAAAGTAAGGTTTGAAAATTTAAAAAAAAAATAAAGAGAATAAGAGAGAAAAAAAAAACTAATAACGTAGAATTAGTTCTCGGAACGGTTATCTTACACTTTCGTAACCAGAACTACCAGTAAGTTGACATTAATTCAACAGGTTACGTCTAGTTAAGTTACCTATTTTAATAATTCATTTACCACACTGGGGCAAGCAATGAATTATTCCCTGAAATACCGAGGTGATCACCGGGGTGTACAAATAGGGACAGAATGTACATAAACAATAACAATCAGGATAACTAAAACTAGTACGATACCAAAATGTTCCAGATGATGGTGGTTCATTCAATTAACCAGATTAGTCCTGGCTACTGGTTGTGGTTAACTTGATCGATGACTTGAGTAACCGTCCGATTACTTAGGCTGGTGTCTGTTAGCCTTTTAGTTCAATTTCGGTTACAATTGAACGTCTATTGTTATAACCGTGAGGGTATACTTGATGGCAAAGTACAACCCCTCCTAAGAAAAACCCTAAGAGAAAAAATTGTTATACACACTGTATTTGTAATTGAACCAATAGCGAAGCACTTCATGAATAAATTGAATTAAAAAAAAATATGAAACTATAATGACTAGTTTCTAATAGCAAATTTACTTGATAAAAAAACTAGAGCTCTTGAAAATTATTTTAATAGGAAAATTGAACATCAAGGTATTAATTAATTAAATTAGATGAAATCATAATAAGGCTTTGATAGCAATCGAGAAAAATGTGTCTCGAGTTTGCAAAAATTGTAATAAGGTTGTGTTTTTTTTTACCTGGTCGAAATAGGGTTTGTTTGCCTCGAAAATCTCCGGAAATCTGGATCGAGGTCTGGATTGAATATCCTGGAGTGGGTGAGATTATTCTCTACTCCTTAGGGCAGCTTTCAACTAATAATTGAATGGAAAAAAGTCAGAATCTTCTATTGGAAAAAAACGTGCAAGCAACTTACCACAACGACTGTTTTTTTTAAATCCGATAACATCGGCGAAAATTATGGCACTTTACGAAAGTAAAACACAACGCAAGATAACTCAGTGTGCCATAAATTCAATTCAGAAGAAAATCAGGCCCAAAATCCCTTTTTAAGGTGAAGAAAAAAAATTAATTCTTCTGGAGGACTTGTTTCTTCAAAACAGTTAACGTGAAAGAGCAAGTGCTGCACATTCAATCAATAAGCTAACCTAACCTAAAGGGAGGAATTCAGACTTAGAGATGATTCAGAATAACGACAAACATCAACAATTAATCGATAGAATTCTCACCTACCAAAAATTGCACACAACAACATAATCCGAGAAAAATGACAACGGCTAATGAATAATGATATTAACAACAAATAATCATCCCATAAAACAATCAAAACTTGAAGAATACAAAATAGAGTAAATGATCCATTTGCAAAATTAGAGGGCTTAAAGAAGAATCGACGATACTAAAAACATTACTAGTCGACCGCTGGTTGACAGAAATTTTTGACAATCAAAAGTCAAAAAAACCGAACGCAAGGATAATACATAAATTATCTCAAAGACCATGGCACCAATGATCGACCCGGGGTTCGCTAGAATTTGCTCCGAGATCAATAGCGCTTAATAGCCGAACAGAGTTAGTACGAACGGAGTAGTTCGGTACATCCGCTTGAAAAGGGGTCAATATGATTTCGGAACACCACCCACGAAATATTTTTGACAAATGAATTAATTATTTTTGTTATGAAAACAGATGTTCGAATTTAAAATCGGAATCAAAATATTGCTTTGTTTTGATTTTGAAATTGAATTAAATCATGGATTAAAATGAGGAAAAACCATTACAGCAAATAGAATTTGACTATTGAAAATTAGGAAATTTACAGGATCTACAACCGTTGAGATTATTGATGAAATTGAAATTGAGAGAAAATGTTGAAAAACTTAAGGAAATCTTGAATATAAAATTGAAAGTAGGTAAGAATTATTTATGCAATTTTGGCCTGTTACAGAATTACTTCCGATAACGGAACTGAATTTAAAAATGCAATTGTAACAGATTTATGTACTTTACATAAAATCGAATTCCATTATACGACACCTCGAAACCCTAATTCTAATAGTCAAATAGAAAGATACATTCTACCCTGAGAGAAAGTCTAACAAGCTTGCAATTACAAACCCCTAATAATTAATGATTTAATGGTAATTGCAATCTTGAATTATAATAACAGCATACATAGTGTTACAGGTTATACACCTTTTCAAATAATTAAAGGCGATTTAAATTATTCAATACCTATTGAAAATTCACATCATAAGATAACCACAGATTATATTAATAATCTTGCCGAATCATTAGAAACTCTAAATAATGTAATTCATGACAAATTAATATCAAAACAACATCCTCCTCATAGGAATTTCCAGTAACGCCTACACATTAACTCTATTAAGAAATCCTATTTTACCGATTTCTATAGGAACCACTTACATCACAACACAATACAACACTGCATGTTATCGAATGTAATACCACAAGAGGTTTCGAGATTACCGGATAATACTTTTACCTGTCACGAAACGCGTTACGCAGCAACACCACGACTTCGAGAGAGGAGTGGTGTTGCTGGTAACGCGTTGAGTGTCAGATAAAAGTATTAAGTAATCCTGAAACATCGAGTGGTATTCAAAAGGTTATACAATGAACTAAACTTCAATACTTTAAAATTAAAAAAAAAATTCTATAATAGAATTTGCTATAAATGCCACCAAGCGCGATAATCCCGAAAGGCTTATCATTTATTAAGCCTCTCGTGTCATATGGAAATAATGTACAGTGAGTTGTACAATCACATTAATACTACCCTTATTGGAAACAGTATTAAAACTCTCGAAATAATTTTAAAGAATTTGACCAATACTTTAAATTTAACCAAATGGTCTAATAAAGACGAAATTGTTACTTTATTACAAGTAAATATTGAAACTAATCAATCACGTATCAATACATTAAAGAAATTTGTAAAACAATTTTCACACGATCGATTTAAAGGTGTATTTAATTTCATAGGTACCGCACAAGAATGGTTGTATGGTAGACGCAAATGACGGCGATAGATATGATTCTTACATTCAAACATTAAATGAGGATCAGCAAACTATCGATAAAAATCTAAAAGATCAAGCAAACGTACTTAAACAAGTTACGAAAACATTTCATGATCAATTTTCTACTATCGAAAATAATGAGATAAAAATCTCAGACAAGATAAGAAATATTTCGACAGATAAGCAAAATATTCAAACTGTCTCAATGATGAATCTAATTTAAGAAAATATTAATATGCACAGTAGTAAGCAACGCGAGATAATTAGCCACATACAAAACGCAATAAGCTTTGCACGCGTAGGCATAATGCAGTATACGATTCTGCAGCATCATGAATTAAATTTTATTTAAAAAAATATACCCGTCAGACAACAAATACCGTTTGATAACATAATTAAATACTATGAGACAATGTCCTCTCATGTAAATATTCAGAAGGAATTAATTATTTTTACTATATTCACACCAATAATTAATCCTAAACCTTTTATATTGTATAAATTATATCCTATACCCATCCAAAATTATAATTAGTGTTAAGTGTCCTTACCTTTTACTTACCACAGACACGTATTACAACGCATTACAAAAATGTCCAAATGTTGAAGACATTTATTTGTGCAAAATTGAACTATTGAAGCAAGATGAGCCCTGTGTTCACGACATTGTATCTAGTGGACAACAATTATGCCCAATCACGAAAATTCAATATGAAGAATCGACAAATGAGGAAATACCCAATAATCAAATATTGCTTATTCGAAAACGACATGTGACAGCAATGCTGCAATGTGACCAGAAGAAGTACATGGAA